CCCCCCGCCCTTTTGTTGCCTCTGATACAGAAGCAGCAAGGGCGGGAGGGTATAGTCATTTCAATTAATCAATAAGCCTGGGCTTACTGGTTAATCATTTAAACTACTATGCACTAAAATCCCTAGTGCAGACATAGCCTTAAGAGTTTGCAGGAAGATACATCACACAGATGAAAAATAAAAGATAAGCAAGAAAGTGTAACTAGTCTTCTTTTCCTATACTGCTACTGAGCATTCAGAGTGCTAAGAATGTCCAGCCAGATGAGCTATTTAATTAGTTGAACAACTGATATCAACTAGAAAATGCTTTTGCACAATGGAATGCTGCCCATGGCAACCCCTGGTGTTGCATCTCAGATCTTTTCCTTCTGAACCCTCAACTTCCAAAACTAAAGGAAAATGTAATCTCTGATCATGCTATTTGTTATGAATCATAAGCAGAGCCAGGTTTTTGTGAAGTTAACTCTAAATAATAGTAAGAAAAGTCCAATTCCTCAAATACTTTCTAAAGATTCCCTCCCCTGCTCCAAACAAGTCAAGCCTTTTAAAAAGACATTTCACCAAGCATAGAAGAGTAAATTGAAGGGCTGCTAAAGCTTGTCTCAGTTTGACAAGACATTAGTTATATGAAATACTGCTATGTTTAAACAGCCTGGTTTTCTCCTGAGCTGCATGGTAGCTCCAAAGAGGCTATTAAAGGGGACTTAACATCCAGAAAAAGAATGCTCTTATTGAGTTGTCTGGCAGCATTTTTAGGAATTTTTGTGTGCTTATATTTGCTTATTCATGGATATTACTGATAGGATGACATTGTTAATTAGTCATGAACAGAAAATTATGGCGCACTGGATCATTGCTTGAGGAAATTGTACCTTTGGTTGGCTTGCATGGTTGGCTTGCAAGAGTTCTAAAGTATTTACTAGTGCTATCAATAATACAGCAAGGTGTGCATGAATACCAGATAACCATAGACTTCAACTAGATGACAGCTATTGGGTTTTGGTCTTAAAGCACAACACATTATTAACATATACCAGGGGTGGCCAACCCACAGCTCACGAGCCCTCATGCGGCTCTTCACCCCTGAAAGTGCGGCTTGCGAAGCCTCCCTCACGGCTCACGAAGCCACCCCATGTGCCCCTACAAACGGCCCCCGGCTCCCTGGGTGCAGGGGAGCTGTCCGGCCGGTGTGGCAAGATGGCGCCGGCCAAAAGGAGCCTGATGTGGCCAAAAAGCCTAACCCGTGGTTTTTAAAGGGGCAGCTTTTTTTTGCTCAACAATTCTGGTGTGGCTCTCTGCATTTTTTCTGCTGCTGTTTTGTCTCTCTTCATTTAATGGGTTGGCCACCCCTGGCATATACCAATGAAAATAAGAACACTTCTTGAGGAACTGATTTTGAGACAAGTTTTGTATCAGTAAAGTCCCAAAGTATTTTTAATCTTACTTTTGATCAGAATCATGATACTTGAAAATTAAGTTTGAAAAGATGAAACAACAAGTATTTATATGATGTCACTAATAATTATTCCAGATGAATGGCTATGAAAGTATATTCAAAGTGAGCCCGGGGAAGGAAGGTGGGCAGCTGCTCCCCCCAGGGCTGCTTGGAGTAGCGGGGACTGCATGGCACGGTGAGCAGCTGCTTCGCAGGGCTGGGGCATTTGCTGCCCCCCTAGGGTCATTTGTGAATAAAACGGTCACTGCTATCACACCCCTTCCTTTCCTTTTGATGAGAAAAATCACATTCCATGCACATCCCACTGTTCTCAACCAAACCCTGAGCATGCTTTAAGTTATAAGAGGAAGCTGACTACCAAATTTGGTGATCCTAGCTCTTACTGTTTAGGATAGAGCCATATATGGCTCACTAGGGAGCCATATATGGCTCTTTTAAAGCTCAAGCCCAAACCCCTTGTTTTACCCTCAGCAAGGAGTCCGCATTGGCACTATACCAGGCCTTGGCAAAACAATGTGGCCTGCGGATGCAGCAGAGCCCCCCTCCCTGACTCCCTTGCTTGCCCTGCCCCTGCACATTGCCCAGAAAAACAGCTGCTGGGCTGCTTTTGTTTTTCACAAACTTGTGAGCCCAGGAGGGGAGAGGAGGGAGTGGTCCCACCCCCAACACAATCCCATTAGCTGGTTTCTGGCCAATGGGAACTTCCTGTTTCAAGAACAGGCAGTGTGCGAAGCACCAATCCCACCTCCCCTCAGCTCTGCAGCCTGTGAGGGGGCAGGATAGGCTCCTGAGAAACATGCTGGGCTGGTGTGCTGGAGTCTCACTGGTAAGTCTCCCAGCCAGAGCCTGCCTCTGGCACCCCAGCCCCTCCCTTCCTCTGTCCCCAGCCCTCAGCTTCCCCACTCCTATCCCTATTCCACGTAAGACAAACTCTCTGCACCCTCCTAAGCCCATGTCCTTTCCCAGACCAGCACCCCAATCTCCTGCCCCAGATCACAATCCCCTCCGGCCCTAGGTCACATCCAAACCCTTGCACTGTAACCCCGTGCCCTGGGTCACAATCCAAACTCCTGCACCCCAATCCCGTGCCTCAGGTCATAACTGCTTCTTTCACCCAAACTCAGTGGCCCCCATCCCAAAAAAGGTTCCCCACTTCTGCCATAAATAAAGACAATGTTGAAACCTTTTGTGTTTGACAATATTTTACTTTACTTAAAAATGAATCCTGACCAAAAAGCCCCCAATTGGGGCTCAGCCCCCATCTGGCTGCAGTGTCATAATACTCCTGCGCGCGCACGCACACACACACCCACACCCAAACCATAGCACATCATACACCTGAACCCCCTGCCTTGAGCCCCTTTCCCCTCACACCCCAATCTTGTGCCCTGAGACCATCATAC